TCCGGACTTCAATCCTCCTCTTGAGCTCAGACTGAACTTTGCCAGGTTGGTGACTTTCAGCTCATTATAATTCCCCGATTGAGCTTCTGAGCTATTTATCTGAGTCCATATCCCCGCAGCGTATCCAGTGAACCCGCGCCAGCTGATGAGCAGCCGCACGCAGCTTGTTTCAATAAACTCGTTTAAAGCTTCACTGTCTGTCTCGTCTGAATTCTGGGTCCAAACCTCTGAGCCCCTGACACCTCCAGGGCTAGTGATTGCTCCGGTTCGAAGAGCCAATCATTATGTCATTGCTTTTATATCAGTGGATTTTAGTGGCATATGAGATTGTGCTAAAGTTTTTTATCAAATATAATCTTTAGATTTTGCATCAAATATTTTTTAGGTTTTTTTTTGGAATTGGAGAAAATTATTTTTATTTTTTATTATTTTCTTCTTTGCTTTAAAAACATTTTTTTCCTTATGGTGTCAGGATTCTGCCAAAACTTTACACATGCAATAAATACTCCTATGAGCAGCTTTACTTCATACAGACGCTCATAAACTATTCCTCACGCGCATGTTTAACATCTTACATACAGAAATAGAGAACCACGGGGCCCCAATATCTCAGACACATGAGTGTTTGTTCTTTCGCTGCACGTGTGGTTTGATTTCATCATGCACGCAGCCTCCCTTCTCCTCACGTGTGAACCTGTTTCTGTGGGCTCATTTCAACTTTTGTCACTTTGAAGGAGTTACCCACCAGAAAAAGCAACCCACCTGTAATTGGCTACTTTTCAGGAAATTCCTCATCTTGTGGCTGTACCCTTCCTCCCACTAGTAAGTAAGTTAGTAAGTTAGCTTTATTTATATAGAACCTTCCACAGAACAAAGCCACAGAGTGCTCTGTAACACAGTTTAAAAACATCAGAAAACATACTATATAAAAGGCCAAGGCAATAGTAAACAAGCAAATCAACTTCCGGCTGACTGCTTCTCTTCAGGAGTTGGAAGTTGGTAAGTGGAGTCCTCATTCGATAAAACATGGTCTTGATGAATACTGAATTCTGAGTGGCTATAGGGTGTCGGTTAAAAAGGGGTTACAGGACATCTACAAAAGTTCAGGTCAAATTTCCCGTGTTTCTGCCAGCTCAAACATTGGAAATGGGAAGATGTTTACGCTGGTTACCTTGGCCACCTGTGACAACTCAAGATGCGGGATTTCCTGAAAAGGAGGCAATCACTGGCGGTTTGCTTTGTCCGTGGCGTTACGACCTCAAATGGACAAGATTAGACATCAACGCACAGAAGCAGGTCCACATGCGAGGAGGAGGGAGGCTGCGTGTGCTATGATCTTCCTGCTATTTCTGGTCATATTTGCTTCATCTGATCTCTTCCTGTTTGGCTGTGACACCATCCTGAAGAAACATCAACTAGGCTTCTGCCATCAGTACATTCTCTAACAGATGATAGAGTTGAGCCTGTTTTTACTGGTTAGTCCTGTCTCTCCTAGACATAGCTATGGGCTCTTTCATCCTTTTTACGTTTAAACTGACTCAGAGCTTGTTCCTTTTGTATATCTGCTTCTTTTTGATTGAACTGGCTTTTTTTTTTAACCAATGCCATATTTGAATGACAAATTAGATCATATGTCAAGCATCTGGGCTGAAGACTGACATTTTTTGTCCATAATTTCCTGGCAAGATGCTGCAGTTTTCTCCCCATTAATTCTCACAAAATTCAGCTCATACATCCCTAAACAATCAGTGATCTACTTTTGTGTTTTAGAGTGGGCATAATTTTCTTTTTAAATGCTTTGTCAACTCCTCTCTAAATGAATAGAATAGAATAGAATAGAATAGAATAGAATAGAATAGAATAGAACTTTACTGATCTCACAATGGAGAAAATCACTTGTGACAAATGTACGGTAAATGTAATTTTGAACACGGGTCACATACAGCAGGCCTTTTCCATGGTTAAGAGGATCATGGTTCAGAAACCAGCAGTGTCAGTACAACAGTGTCAGTTGAGAAATGAATACTGGGAGAGATATGCAGCGATCTGTCTGGAGAGCAGAATCCCTGAAATGAATTACGTCTGTGCATGGTTGCCTATAGAAACTATATAAAACTCATCTGGATCGACTAGTTTGTAAGGTATGAAACTGAACTTTCCTTGCGGTGTAAAGTCAGGGTGATTTTTGACTTTTTGTCTCATTGTCTTATAAAAAAAAAAAAAAAGTTTATCATTAATTTTCCTATCTTGCATAATTCCTTTTGTGAAAAACATTTTAAACTTTTCCTCATTCAGACTCTTTTCACAACCATTTTATAAAGCAGTTAAAATGATTTAACAGTATCAATTTAAAACTGTAGTTAATCTTCACCCTGGTTTAGGAAAAAAAACTGCTCATAGGAAACCTGTTCATCTATTATCTTTTATCACATTTAAATCATCATACTTTTCATCTATTCAGCAAAAGGGGTAATTCATTAGCTGTTATGTTGGTAGTAATAGTCTCCAAATTTATTTAAAATCTTTTTCAGCTTATGATTTTCTTTTTCCCGTATCACATTTTCAGGGAGCCCACACTGTTCTCATTGATCCCTAAAGCAGTACTCACAGCCGTTAGTCTGTTTAAATAATTTTAATCCCAAACGTGCATTTCAATGTGCTGCTGGTGTTCTGGGGGTGCTTTTATGTTCTTAGTCAAAAATATTCCTTCCTTATATAAAAGAAAGCTTTTCCAGGCCATTAATATTAAACTTATAAGTTTATAACTCCATTATTTTAAGTCACCCT